GACGGCGAGCAGCCGAGGCGGTGCACCCGAGCAGGGCACAGGAGCAGCGGGGGGGGGGGGGGGGGGGCCGTCCCTCCAACGACCCGATACTCTCGAGCATTGGCAAGGGCTCCCTCGAGGGCGCGAAGTTATTCGCGCTTCGCGGTCCTCGTTCCTTCTCCCCCTCCTCCTCGTCCTCCTATTCTCCCTTTGGGAGGGCGGCGCGAGAGCGCGAAGTTATTCGCGCTTCGCGCTTCGGGGAGCGCGAAGCGCGAAGTTGGGAGCCCTAGATTGGTCTGGACGCCCGAAGTGGGCACGGGAAGACTGGGCACAGTGCCCAGCAGCAGCTCCTGTTCATTCTGCACGGGACCCGCTGTCCACGCCGCCGCGGCCCGTGTCCATTCGAGACAGGAGGCCGCCTGCCCAACAGCGGCCGCTGTTGGTTTGGGACAACATTTGCTGTTGGGCATTGTGCCCATTCTTCCCGTACCCACTTCGGGCGTCCAAAATTGGGGGCCTCAGCTCACCGAGCGCGTTTTACGACTTGCAAAGGGTGCCTGCTCGTAAACGTCGGAAGAGCAGATGTTTGCCACGGTGTAGCGGATCGTGAACCCTCCGCGGCGGATCCAGGCCATCTGCGAGTAGCCACTTTGCGAGTAGTGGAGCACGCTTGTCTATCAGCGGCACCGTTAGGGGGGATATGCTCAGGTAGGCGACGACAAAAAACGGGTCCAACTGCGCCGACATTTGCGCGTAAGCTCCCCGCGTAAGGTCGCGCGTAAACGCCCTCGTCCCCAACGTAGCGTGCCGCGCTGGCGGCCCGCGTAAGCCACCGCGTAAGGTCGCTGTGTCATTGCGCAAGGACGGTCCCACCCAGGAACGTGCGGTTCTGCCATCGGGTGGTTCTAGCCGATCTGTCAGCGATTTTTTTCGCCGATTCCAGGTCGCTGTTTCCCACGCCTTTGAGCTGGCACCCCCATAGCGTTCCCCATCAGGCCCCGGGCCTCTCGACACTCGGACCTCTCGACGCTCTCCTTGGGACCGGCTCGTCGTCCCGAGCCGCTTTCTGACGGCCTGCAGGGTCCGAAAGCTGGCGGCCCAGAGGCAGAAAGCTGTTGAAGCACCTCGGATTGTATGTTAGCCAGCGTGGACCCCAAACAGTAAGTTTTTGCGCTGTGGCTGTGTGAGCTATGTGGTGCACGCTGCGTGGCGTGAGCGATGCGGTGCAGTATACGTGCAGCTCGACGCGGCAGCGAGGCGGCAACGGGCGGCAGTTTGGCGGAACCTCGCTGGCCCACCCAGCGCACGAGGCGGCAACGAGGGGGCAACGGGCGGCAACGTGGCGAAACCTTGCCTGACCCATCCAGCGCACGAGACGTCAACGAGCAGGAACGTGGCGAAACCTCGCTGGCCCCACCCAGCGCACGATGCGGCAACGAGGCGTCATCTTGCGGCAACGTGGCGAAACATTGGTTGACCCACCCAGCGCACGAGGCGACAACGAGGCGTGAAGGGGCGGGAACGTGGCGCAACCTCGCCAGACCCACCCAGCGCACGAGGCGGCAACGAAGTTGCAACGGGTAGCAGCGTGGCGACACCTCTCTATACCCACCCAGCGAATGAGGTGGCAACGAGGCGGCAACGGGCGGCAACGTGGCGAAATCTCGCTGGACCCACCCAGCTCACGAGGCGTCAACGGGCGGCAACGTGGCTTAACCTCGCCGGACTCGCCCAGCGCTCGATGCGGCAACGAGGCTCCATCGGGCGGCAACGTGGCCGAACCTCGCCAGACCCACCCTTCGCACGAGGTGTAAACGAGGCGTCAACGGGCGGCAACGTGGCGACACCTGAGCGGACCCACCCAGCGCACGAGGCGGCAACGAGGCGTCAAGGGGCGGGCACGCGGCGAATCCTCGCCGGACCCGCCCAGCGCACGAGGCGGCAGCGAGGTTGCCACGGGTGGCAACGAGGCGACACCTCTCTGTAATGGAGGATGACGATCAATAAATGGCCGGGGGTCGTGTTCACGCGGCGGCGCCCGGGAGGACGATGACTGCGGGCTGGGAAGCTATTCTTTTTGATCGTTCTCCTCCAGTCAGACAGTGATGCAGAAATCGCAGACAACTACGTTTTGTCTTCAATCGTCCTCTCCCCTTTTCTTAACTAATCTCAGGAGCGGAAAAAACACACAGACACAATCAATCGTCGAGCCCAGGAAAATGTGGAAAAATATGGGAAGTGGGGGGGAAGACAAAAACCCAGAAAATATGGGAAAATATGGGGCATCGTTTTATGTGTGTGTATTTATTTGTGTGTCCTGGGGCCCCTTCATATGTTTTGTTTTCAATCGTTCTCTCCCATTTTCTTCACTAATCGCCATCCCGCAGTACCCCCCCCCCCGCGAAGGGGGCGGCAACGGGGCGCGGCGACGGGCGGCAGCGCGGCTTAAAACCTCGCCGCACCCGCCCCGCGCACGGGGCGGCCCACGGGCGGCAGCGTGGCTTTTAAAACCTCGCCGGGCCCGCCCAGCGCACGGGGCGGCGGCGAGGCGTCGAGGGGCGGCGACGTTAAAACGGCGCGAAGGTCGGGGCAAAATCGGATCGGGATAACCCGAAATCTCTGAGAATCGGCGGGTTTGGGGGATGTATTGGGCGCCGTGGCCGCTCTCGTGGCGACGTGGCCGAATCACTCGCTGTACCCAGCCGACTCCTTGGCGAGACGAGTGACGTCACCCGACCGCGGGCACTGTTTTGGGTCGGGGGTGGACAGGGCCCCCAACAGTGACACGTCGATTCGTGAATTGTCCGTTTTCGGTTCTCGAGAGGGCGCCGTGGCCGTTATTTTCCAGGCTTGCGCCGCCAGGTTTGGGCCTCGGGTGGTTTTCACTAATCCACGTTTTACTAAAGGGGGGTCTGTCCATCCCCGACTAATGTTCAGTTCTGTCTCTGTACGTCTGTGGAGGGAGGAGGGGCGGTGCACCGTCCACCCCCTCTCGCGCCGCCCACGCTGTGCGCGCCGCCGATCCCAGCCCGTGTGCCCGAGAGCTCTCGACCCCCTTCCCCAGGAGCATGCTTCTCATCCCGCGCAGTCTCCTGATGGTCCCAGAGCCCGCGACCGCCACAAGCCGAGGTGGAGTACCGGCGACAGTATTGTCTCCTCTCGGGAGCCTTGAGAAAAGGGTCAATGCAAACGGGGGTCAGCCAGAGCCAGGGGTGCATTGGCCCGTGTCAGCGCGCATTGCCTCCCTGTCGGTGTTGCCGCGGGCGGTGCCCATTTGAGACAGAAGGCCGCCTGCCAAAATGCGGCCGCTGTTGGTTTTGGACAACATCTTGCTTTGGGCACAGTTCCCATTTTTTCCGTACGGTAGGTTAGTGTCGTGTCGACCAGCGGCGACCCCAGCGCGGGCGTTCAAGGTTGAACGCCGCCGGCGACCCAGAATCGATCGATGTTGAACGATCGGACGTTGCGGCAGCGGCCGATCGTTCAAGATTGAACGATCCCTGCGGTGTCAAAAACCAACGCTGGGGTCGGCACGACACGAACCTGCCGTACCCATTTCGGGCGTCGTGAAAAAAACATCGCCCTGTGCGTTTTTCGGCCTGCGATCCAGCCGGGGATTCCGAGGGGGCTCCAGCCATGGCGGCGGGCAGCTCCCGCCGAGGCCCCCACGAGGACGGCAGACTCACCAGGAGCGTCGGTCCCTCTGGCCTGGCATCGCTCGGAAGTCTGCGCTTTCGTTTCTCGCTGGGGACCATCGAGGAGCATCCTGGATCATCTTGCAAAACGGAAGCCGTACAACCGAAACATACAGTGCCGTTTTTTTATACAGGCTCCGCGTGCGGATCATGTATTAGAAATTCAGGGATTTTGTATTAAAAGCAATGGTGACTTTACGCATTGATTTGTTAGTTAATTAATCATGTGTTAAAAATCCCATGCATTAACAATCCAATGTATTAAAACCTGCCCTGTATGATGTGCACGGGGCACGGGCGTCCGAGCGATGGCAGGCCGGAGCCCTGAAGCTCTGCGAGAGCAGCTCGTGCCTACACAGCCCAGGTGCCCGAGCCTGACGACCGCTGGGAGGTCCCAACGGGGTCGCTGGATCGTTCATCGCCTCTGATGGGCGGCGTGTCCCCTAGTCGTCATTCGAGGGGTTGTCTTTGGAACTCACGTCGCCCTGACCCCTTGCGAGCGAGGATAAGCCGCAAGCATGAACTCACCCCTCCCTCCTGCCCCAAACGGCGTAAGGTTGGCGCTGGAAGCATGTCGTACGATGTGGCGCCGCCCGCCCGCTTATCATACGGGGTCCCCCACCTTGGGGATAGCATGCACCCAAGAAGCCCTGGCAGGAGCATATCGCGCACAGAAGGGGCCCTCGCGGTGGGCATCGCCTCACAGGGGTCGCGTGCTGCTTTCGGAGACCGATGCTGCACGATGACTTCCCAACGCCAACCGCATACCATTAACATTATACTCATACCAGTATACATTATACTCCACCCCCTTCCTGCCTCAACCCATTCCCCTTCCCTCTCCAGACATTCGGCGTCTCTTCTTTCTGTGTTGAGACACGGGCCCCCGACCTCTCGACCACTTCCCCGCGACCGGTTTTTCATCCCGAGTCGTTTTTTGTTGGCCCCGAGGCCCGGTAAGGGCCCACGGAGGCCGAAAATTATGAACAACTCTTCGTCTCGATTTCTTCAAGACGCCGGATGTCTGGGGGGGCACCTCGATCCCCTCGATTTTGGGCGGGTGGTGAGGGGGGTGACCTGCATGGGGGGTGAAGAAGGGGGACCTTAAGGACCCCTTTAGGGCCTCTTTCTTTACCCCCTATCTAAGTCACTAACACCCGCCCGATCCCCTCGATCCTCCTCCTCCTCCTCGTCCTCCTCCTCCTCCTCCTCCTCCTCTTCCTCCTCCTCCTCCTCCTCCTCCTCCTCCTCCTCCTCCTCCTCCTCCTCCTCCTCCTCCTCCTCCTCCTCCTCCTCCTCCTCCCCCCCCCTGGTGCCGGGCTTCAGGTCGCGGCCCTGCTCCCCTACCTGGGCCAGATCGCGCGCGGCGACCGCCGCGGCGAAAGCTGCACGGCGGGGGTTGGTCCGTTTTTGGGGATGTGCCCGCCCAGGCCCGCTCGAGTGGTGAAACATCCTTGGCATCGCTCGGACGTGTGCATTTTTCCTTCGGCGAGGACCATCGAGGAGCATCTTTTATCATTTGGCGAAAAAAAAAGAAACCTCGCACGAAACTGAAAAAAACACAGGGAATGGACGTCCGAGCGATGGCCAGAATCACGGCGGAAGGCGTTTCGCTATTTTCGCCTTCCAGGGGCCCTCGCAGGGTCCCCGGGCCGTCAAGCAACGACGCGGGGAAGGACGAGAAACGGGTCCCGGGGAAGTGGTCGAGACCTTTTGGGGGTCGACGTCGTGGAAACTCGTGACGTTGGGGGTGTGGGGACCCTGAAGGAGTTCTTATCCGCTTCGAGCAGCGGTGATATCCATAGCCAGTCCACGACTGGAGTTCCACCTGCTTCCAGGGCCTGGCGTCCTGATCCAGTGGTTCCTGATGCCATGCCCTCACCTCATGCACAGACGCCCCTCCGTGGATTGTTGCTGGGCCTCGGGGGAGGGCCCTGACGTCCAAGACACAACTTTATGACTGTTTTTTGCCCCCGGGGGCCCTCGTCGGGTGGATTGCTCATGGGCCTCAGGGGCCGCAGGCGATTTATCGACCCAATCCCCCAGTTCCGCCAAGAAGAATTGACCGCTCGGGAAAATGGGGGAACCTGGGGCATGCACCCTCTGGGGGGCTATCCGGACGCGCCCCTATCGAGGATGGGCGCACTCCTCGTATGTTTGGTTTTTTTTGCCCATTCGGAAACCCTACGAAGTTGGGGATTGGGTCGCCATACCTCCGTCAAGGGGAAGTTCCTGTCGTCCAGGACGCAAGCTTTTCGTTGATTTCTGCCTCCGTGGGGCTGTGAAAAAAAAGGCGCAGGACGAAGAACCAGTCCAAGGGAACGAATGGGTCGAGACCCCTCAGAGGATTCGTCTTGGGCCTCCGTGGAGGGCCCAGATGGCCAGCGTCCTGACAGCAATCGAGATGGCGGTTTCTTGCTTTTTTTACGCCTTCGTGTGCCCTCGCCGAGCCCCAGGACTGTCAACAAAGCTAGTCGGAATAAAAAGCCTCAAGCAGTGGCGGAGCGTCCTGACTCGCCTATAGCCCTACCAAACAATGGTCTAAGAACCTTTTGTGGTTCCCACGAAATGTTCTTAGAACATTTCTGACTGGGACTGTCTTGTTTTATCACATCGGGCTTATGTTCTAAGAACATGGTTATTGTTCTTCGAACATTTTTGGGTTCTAAGAACATGTCGTGGTAGGACTATAGGAATGCCGGGACGGTCGGTCCCTGCTCAAGAAAAGCCAGTCCTGGGGTCGAGGCCTCTGAGGGCCCACGTGGATAGCTCTTTGGTCTGATGGGGAGGGCCTGGACATCCAGCGTCTTGAAAAGAGCAAGACGCAGGGTTTTCGTCGCTTTCGGCATCTGAGGGGCCTAGCCCGGCCCCAGGCTTGCCAGCTACAAAAAACTGCTCGGGATGAGAGACTTGTCCTGGGGAATGGGTCGAGACCTCGGGGTCAGCCTCAAAAAAACACAACATCGAAGGCCCGGAGGGGAGTGTGTCGGTGCATACATCAGCACGCGCCGGCGGTTTTGCACGCCGCCACCCTCCCAGGTGGGGTTATAGCAAATGGGCTCAGAGGATCGCGCCGATGCATCGGCGATGCTCCTCGATGTGTAGCCCAGGGTTCTCCACGCCGAGATGCATCGCCGACGTCGCCGATGCATCGCCGATGCATTGGCGACGCGACGCGATCCTCCGACCCCATCTGCTCGGACCCCATCTAGGAGGCCTCTATCCTGGCCCTCAGGGGAGGGCGGCGGTGTAGAAATCACCAGTGGCACGTCTTTGCACACTGCCACCCTCCCTGCAAGGCACCCAGACCCCCGACGACATGATTTGATTGCAACGTCGACCCCCAGAGGTCTCGACCCATTCCCGGGGACCGTCTTTTCATTTTGAATCGTTCTCTGACAGTCCCGGGGGCCGGCGAGGGCCTCTGGAGGCCGAAAACAGCCCAGAACTGTCCGTCATGATTTTTCACTGGGCGAGCATGTCTGGACATCGACCCTCTTTGGCAAGGCGCAGGGCGCGGAACAGCATCCCGAACCTGGAGCACCACCGAGAACTTGCGAATGGCACGGAAACCTCGAGGACCTCGGTGTCCCCCTGGGGCCACGACGAGCACTGGCCCTTGTCATCTTGGGGCCACGACGGACACCGGCCCTCAGGGGAGGGTGGCGGTGTACATCTATCACCACTGAGGGCCAGCGACTTGGTGCACCGCCGCCCCCCACTGCAGGCCCTGGGGGAAGTGTACGTTCGAGCGATGGCGGGTCGTCGGCGGGCGTCCGCGCGTGAGACCCCCGCGGCGGCCAGGCGAGCTCCCGCGGGGCGCCGCGGCGGCGCCCCCGCTCGCCGCGGCGGCGGCCCCGCCCCCAGCGCCGCTCCCGCAGGCCCGAGCGGGGGGTGGCGTGCGGAAGGGCGGCGAAGGGGAGGCCGCCCCCCTGTCGGATCGGGGATCTAGCAGAGACAGACAGTCGGAATCAGTAGCAATCGGCGGCGAGCGAGGAGGAGGAGGAGGAGGAGGAGGAGGAGGAGGAGGACGATGGGGATGATGATGATGATGATGATGATGATGATGATGATGATGATGATGATGATGATGATGATGATGATGATGATGATGATGATGATGATGATGATGATGATGATGATGATGATGATGATGATGATGATGATGAGGAGGAGGAGGAGGAGGAGGAGGAGGAGGAGGTGGACGTCACCCAGTGGTGCCGCCGCACTGGTGTGGAACTTCACTTTCATCCTGTGGTATGGGCGTTGCTGCCCCCAAAAAGACAGAGGAGGATGAGGAGGAGCTGATCCCTTCCGTGGTGATACCTTCCGTGATCCCTTCCGAAACCCAGTCCGATGGTGATCCCTTCTGTCGTGCCCCTCCCTGTTGCTGCTTCTGTCCAAGCGCCCCCCGTGCAATGTCTTGCTTCTCCCATGACATGCTCTTACGCGGTGTTTGTGGTTTATAGAAGAGAAGCTGATCAACATGCTATTCGGTCCTTTGCTGACCCCCCCGTGTGGAAGACGGATCGAGTTTGGCCGGTAGTCCTTGAATGTGATGCGAGTGGCCCGCGGTGTTTCCTTAGCCCCCACACCCTGGTGACCATGGGCCTGCTCGCTGCGAAGGGCAAAATGGCGAGCCTGTTTATTGAATACACCCTCACGAGCTTCACGCAAGCCTCGCACCCGTTAGACTCGATCCTTGTAGGCCTCATTCCTGTACGTACCACTGCGGCCCCCTGGGGTGGCACCAAGACCAGCGACAGCGAGCGGCAGTGGATGGACAAAGAGAACACGTGGATGCGTTAGTGTGTTGAGTTAAGGTTCAAGTGTGTCGCTCATGGGATTCCTGTTTGCTGGGTGTTCCCTGTCTTCCCCTCGGTGAATGCGGCCTAAACTTTAGCTGGCCCTCCCCCTGAGGTCGGTGCCCTCTCGAGTCTGCCCAGGTGTGGACACACTTTGCCGGCGGCCACGGGACCGCCCTTAGATTCTGGCATCCCACCTTTGCGTGGTTTTGTGGGGCGCGTGGCTAAGCGGCCACCAGTACGTATGGAGGGATGGCAAATGTCTCCCATGCCGACCCTCTGAGATGCCTCAACCGCCGTCTTCGCCTTTCTTGCTTCCGTGAACCTGCGGGGGGGACATGAAGCAATCAGCATCTACCAGGCCGCTTGATGACACGGACAGTGTTGTTGCGTGCCTCTGCAATGCCGCCAGGGCGCGACTGCAGTTTGCAGGTGCATCGTGCAGAGGAGCGAGGGACAGGATAGTGGAAGTTTGGTCGGAGAAAGGGATGCTCCCGACGGGGTCGTTGACGGGGCCCCTGCCTTGACGATTGGCGGTCTTCTTTGGAGGGACGGGGTCACGTTCACGCATGACCCTGTTGTTCGCCAGTTCCGTCTCGAGGAATGCTGGGGAGGGGAGGCCGCCTGGGGCATGTGTCGGGACCCACCTCTGGCCCAAGTGCCTCTCCGTCAGGACCGCCTTTGCCTGGCGTGGCAGTTGGGCGCTCCGAAGGGGCCTCGCTGGCCCCCCCCATCGTGGTGTCGCCCTGACCCCTGACCCTCTCCCCCGTGCATGGATTCGTTTTGCATGCCTTCCACCTTCACACCTTCTGGCTCGGGCTCAAACTTTTGAAGCCCCCAAGGAGCGAGCGAGCGAGCGAGGAGGAGGAGGAGGAGGACGACGACGACGAAGTGGAAGAGGGTGCTGATTGGCGGCGAGCCCTCGGGGGAACTGACTGAGAAGGAGAAGGCCTTCTCAGAAGGTTCAGAAGTCCCGCGGCCTTCCGGGAGGTTGTCTGCGCCTTCGCCGAAGGCGCGGGAAGCATCTCTCAGAGGGCGCGATGGCCTCTGCCACGTCTCGCCGCCTTCTGAGAAGGCCTTCTACTTCTGACTTCCCCCCTCGTTCGCCGCCGAAAGGATGGGTCACCTCCCCAAGGGTGCCCTTGGACACATCTGGCGGATGAGGAGGAGGAGGAGGAGCATGAGGAGGAGCAGGAGGAGGAGGAGGGGGAGGAGGGGGAGGGAGAGGAGGAGGAGGAGAGGAGGAGGAGGGGGGGAGGAGGCAGGAGGAGGATACTTTCACTACTACTACCTACTACTACTACTACTACTACTACTACTGCTACTGCTACTGACTACTGCTACTGCTACTGCTCACTGCTGCTACTACTACTACTACTACTACTACTACTACTACTACTACTACTACCTACTACTACTACTACTACTACGACTGCTGCTACTACTACTACTACTACTACTACTACTACTACTACTACTACGACCACACTACCACTACTACTACTACTACTACTACTACTACTACTACTACTCTGCTACTACTACTGCTACTACTCCTACTACTAATTCCTACTACTACTACTACTAACTAACTACTACTACTACTACTACTACTACTGCTACTGCTGCTACTGCTACTGCTACTGCTACTACTACTACTACTACTGCTACTCTACTACTACTACTACTACTACTACTACTACTACTACTACTACTACTACTACTACTACTACTACGGCTACTACTACTACTACTACTACTACTACTATTCTACTACTACTACTACTACTACTACTACTACTAACTACTACCTACTACTAACTACTACTACTACTACTACTACTACTACTACTACTACTACTACTACTGCTACTACTACTACTACTACTTACGACTAGGGCACGACTACGCCCGACGACTGCTACGACTACTGCTACTACTACTACTACTACTACTACTACTACTACTAGTACTACTACTACGACTACTACTACTACTACTCTTATTACTTCTCCTGCTACTACTACAACTACTACTACGTCTACAATTCATACTACTACGACTACTACTACTACGGCTACTGCTGCTACCACTACTGTTATTATTACTACCACTGCGACGACGACTACTACTGCTACTACTACTACTACTGCTACGGCGAATCCAACTACTACTACTACTACTACTACTACTACTACTACTACTACTACTACTACTACTACTACTGCTACTACTACTACTACTACTACTACTACTACTACTACTACTACTACTAACTACTACTACTACTACTACTACTACTACTACTACTACTACTACTACTACTACTACTACTACTACTACTACTACTACTACTACTACTACTACTACTACTACTACTACTACTACTACTACTACTACTACTACTACTACTACTACTACGGCTACTACTACTACTACTACTACTACTACTACTACTACTACTACTACTACTACTACTACTACTACTACTACTACTACGACTACTACTACTACTATTACGATTACCATTACTATTACTACTGTCACGATTTCTAATACTATTGCTTACACTGTTACTACTGCCAGCCCTACTACTACTACTACTACTACTACTACTACTACTACTACTACTACTACTACTACTACTACTACTACTCCTACGACTACGACTACGACTACGACTGCTACTACGACTGCTACTGCAATACTGACACTGGTAACATTAATTCTTGTCCCCTCGGTCCATCCGTGATTGCTTTCGATGGTAAACCCCGTCCGAACTAAGCTGCAACACGGGTGTCCGAGGGGCTTGCATCCGTCCCGCGCATCCTCTCAGTTTTGACTCTAGAATACGGTGGGGGTCTTGGTTAAGTAATATGCCCACGAGGTTGTAGACCCTGGAGGATTCCTTATCCAATGGGGGCGGTGGTTATGTCCATGGCCGTTCCACGATTGGAGTTCCACTGGCTTCCAGACCCTGGATCCCTTATCTAAGGTATCCTTGTCCAATGCCCCCACCGTACAAGGTTCGGAGGGCCGCGTGGATTCCTCGGATCGGCGCTGGAGCCCCCCAGCGGCGCCTGCGGCACCGCTCCTAGAGCCGCTTTGACCTTCGAAGCTGCATGTTCATATCCTTGCGTGTTCCTCCATGTATGAGCCCGCGGACCGTAGCCATGAAGCAAGACCCAGGCATGCGCGTCTCGTGAACAGAAATCACGACGGACGGCTTTTGGGAGTGTTCGGCTTTCTCGCGGAGCCCGGGGACGAAAAAAACAGTTCCAGTACATGGGTCGCGACCTCCGTGGGCCCGTGCAGTGAACAGACGAGGACGTCGCATGTCGGGGAAGTGGTCCTACAGAGGGAAGCGAGGCTCGAGTCTGTCTTTCGCGGCCTTTGGAGCTTTCGGGGCTACTTTCAGGCGATCGCAAACATGGATTAAGGGGTCGTGGATTCGTGACGGGTCCCGTTTCCATGGGAAATCGCGGATGTCTGCCGCCGAATGAGGCGGCACTGGCCGCATTTTGGGGAGGGCACCTCCCCCGATCCATGGATTTGGCGACCGCGCACCAAGTCCATGGATCGCCAATCCATGTCTGCGCGCCCCCGAGATATCGGCGAGAGGCCCCCGACAGCGACACCGCACTCGCTCTGGGCGAAAGCGAAAACGCACGCTCTATCCAGCCCAGGAGCGTGCGATCTCGCTATCGCGGGCCTCTCACCGATTGATCGGCGGTGTATCGCCGATTCCAGACCGAAGCTTCCCCCCTGAGCTGGTCACCCCTTGCCGTGGCCCCTGATCAGGGGTCGACAGTCGACCCCTGGACCTCTCGAGGGGGGCGCTCTGACCAGAATCTCGAGGCGGATCCGGCCGTGGCCACGAGGGCGCCCCAGGACGACGGAAGACGTCCAGCACGCGAGCCTCGGACCGCGAACGTCCCCTCCCCAATGTTCCCCCCGCAGACCGAAGCTTCCCCCCTGAGCCGGTCACTCCGTGGATCGCCAATCCATGCCCGCGCGCCCCCGTGGCTCAGAGGTCGACTCCGGGCGCCGAGAGCGGGTCCCTGGGGGCAGCGTCC